TCAGAAACACGCGCTCACAACCGGGGCTCAAAGCACTGCCCTCTGGAACTCGATAGTGCAGCCCAGCTCGGCCCCTCAGCTTGCTCCAGGACCCAGCTCTCCACCAGAGGCTGAGCTTGCCTCCTGCCTGCCCCAGGGACCACCTCCCTATCAGGGGACATATTTTGGCCACAGCCAGAGGAGCACTTCTCCCCCACCAGCCCTGGGGGTCCCTTCCCAATGGGCTCACACAGACCAAGAGGCGACCTGCAGCTCCATTGGACGCAGCCACCCACTCCCTGCTGCACAGGGTGGGAGGGATGGCCTCGCTGTGCTCGCAGCAGCTACTCAGCAAGAGCTCCCAGTCTTCAGGGGCTTTCCCCTACCTCATGGAACCTCAGAAAGAGCAGACTTCAGAAAATTTTAGAAATCTAACCAAAAGGCTCCACATTTCTACTTGGCCAGTATTTGCTAGCCATCTTAAGCCTAAGAAGGTGGATTTTTGAAGCTGGAAAAAAGGGTAATAGCCCTCTTTGAAAATAAAAGTTCTTCAAATGCCTAATAGCCTCCGAATCAGAGTAACTGGGAAGTTACCTGCTGTCTAAAGACAAACTGAAAGAGCTTTTCTTGTAGATGCAAACCTCCAATCTCACAGGGTTTGGAGGGAGCAGCAGCTTCAGAGAGTTGTGCCTGAAGACAGACATTTCTTGATGCTGCCATTGCTGCTAGCAACACTAGCCAACCCTAACAAAGGCCAGAGGAAAAGCATCAAGGAGCAATCCTCCCCAGGCCCAGCCACCTGCCCCCTGGCAGACTGCACGCCATGGTCCAAGGCCGACCTCTGGAGGCTCGCTCCCACATCGTTGCGGCCTCTCCACATTAGGCAAGGGGCTTATGCAAGCAACAGCAAGCCAAAACATGGCTGGCACCTTTGCCCAGACTACGGTAGGCATGGGTGTGCCCTCACCTTGGGACAGGCCAGCACTTCTCAAAGCTGGTGGTGGGTCCAGCAGAGGCACAAGGCCCTTGTGCCACCTCCCTCCCCCAGGAAGGGAGAGGTGACAAGAGGCAAAAGCAGGAGCTACCTGGCTCTGCTGCAGCACCCGGTGCACACAGGTTTGGGGAGGAGGAGTGAGCAGCACAGACTGCTGTATTTGAGATGCCGAGATCTGGGGCAACCTGGATGAGGATGCTGTGTGAGAGAAGCAAAGGAGGGTCCCCAGACTAACGAGTCTAACAAGACTAATGAAGGGCTGCAAGACAGGACTCTGCCACTGCGCTCACAGGGACTCAAGCTCGGCCGTGTTCATCAGGGAAATTATCTGCATCCTGGTGGCAGAGCACACGTTTGACGTTCAGGCAGGTATTGAACGCTAGCTGACCTCGCATCCTCCCAACAGCACTTGAAATTGCTAACAATATTCCATGTCAACATGCCTGTGGAAAGAATGTGGAAAAATTAGCAAAAGGATTGGTAGGTTTGACAAGTTTTATCGAACCATTCCCATTTGCTCTGCAGAAAAGTGTCAGTGAGTTCCCTGGAGGCTGGTCTGCATGTCTCTACACGTTGGCAGGGGGACCATGGTGACAGGACACTGCAGGGGTAAACAGAGGACTCTGAACAACAAAGTGCTGGAAGGCAAACAGAAAACACCTTGCAAACAGGTCCCCAAACCAGGCACATGCAGCTCTGGAAGGCAGGAGAAGAGAGCAGAGCCCAGCAGTTACTGGCTCTCTGTGGATGAGCAGGAACCATTGCCTGCAAGGACAGCAGGACAGCCACTGCATCCTCCCAAGGCCCGGACATGTCAGTCCTGCCAGAGTCCCCTAGGACAGCATCCTGGTGGCCAGGACAGATTGGGCTTGGCAGAGTTTGCTGCCAAGGCCTGCCCAGAGCTTACTCGCACCCCCCGAGGGAGAAGGGAGAGAAGGGAAGGATTGTATCTTACTGCTTAGAGGGGGGTTTACAAATGCTCACAGCAAGGAGAGGCTTCCAGTGCCCCGTTCCTACACCTGTATCACCTGAAGCAGCCTCTGCTTCACACAGTCTCCACAGGCACAAGCAGTGCACATCCTACTAGGGCTGAACAAGAAATGGTTTTCCCCATGTCACAAAAGCTTGAGGTTCCCCAAGATCTATACATAAATAAATAGATAAATAAATCACCATCTCTATCTTTTTCAAAAGATAAAGAGAGTCCACATTGGGACACTGAATCCGGAATCGGAGCATTCACCTAGGACATGGAATAACATCCAATCCCTTGTTTCCAGTTCTCACCAAACTACAGATGCATTTCATGCATCCCTGAAAAGAGCAGCGATCACTTATTGCAAAGATTTGGATGCTTTCCCCTCGTTCCAGAAACCCCAATCCCAAGCCTCTCCTGTGGCGATGCCAGAGCTGGAACATTCCTGGGATCTCTGGGTTTGGACAGACTAGTATTTTCCAATAAATAACCACTGGAAAAATCCCTCACCATTTCCGGACATTTACTCACTTCTTGAACGCACTGCCCAAGCCAGATGCCAGCCTACCCCTCTGCTGCAGGCCTGGCAGGTTCCTGCATCAAGCCAGAGAGGCTTCACCAGCACCTCAACACCCAGCCTGCAGCAGGCCACCGGCACCCAGATCAGCAGCGGCACTTCCTCACACCGTAAGCTCATGCAGCCTTGGCACTGCCCGACTTGCGAGTCAGCAGCGTGAGCAGGGTTTTCTGAAGGGGCTGAACAGGGGAGATGACACCCATGCACAGTAGAGTGAAAACCTGAGGGGCTCCTCTTTCTCAGCTCCAAGGCAGCGAGATGCCCCAAGTGCTGCCCTTTGCCCCCTGCTGCTGCAAACTCACCAAGGGTGTTGGATCAGGAATGCTGAAGCTATTACACACCCACCAGCCCAACTCCTTGTAAATGGAAAAGCAAGGTGAAAGAGTGAGCTACACTGGCATCCACAGGCAAAGAAGTCAGAAAACCCACTCTGGTTTCATGCCACCCCTTTGTGAGCAGGGCGATCCTCACAGCAAGTTCACCCACACTGGCCGTGCTTCCTCAGGACAGACTGACCACTGAGCAAGGACGAGAGGCTGCACACAGCCCTGCTGCTCACAAGGACGCAGGGCTGCTGCCACTGGGCAGCGACAGAGGAGCCCGGCCACATGCAAGCCCTACAGCAGGCGATGGAAGCAGCCTGCACACCCAGCTGCTGTTCTTGGAAACAGCAGTGCTCAGTTTTTGTCAGTCTTTTCTGGCCAATCTGGTGACTATTGCACCCAAAGGGACTGCTGCTTAGTCACCCAGCAAGCAGAGCTCCCACTGGCCTCCCCACGAGCTGCACGGTTGCAATGGTATCATCCTGCACAGGGCAATTCATGCTTGAAGGTACCTCAGGAGGTCTCTACTCCAACCTCCACCCCCAGGCAGGGTCAGCCCAAGCTGCTCATGGCTTTATCCAGTCTGGAGGCACCCTACATCCCTCCGTCTAAGAGTCTTTAACGTGTCCCATCCTTGCACCATCCAAAAAAGCTGCCGATCCTTTTTTAAAGACACGAATGTTTGTACAAAAGCTCTACCGCAGCCACATGCACATAGCCAGGCTATGTGAGGAAACCCAGTTCTTTGCAGAACGCGCACAGGTCCCCCCACTGATGGGCAACAGGATGGGTCTGCGCTGCCTGGCCCCCATCCCAAGACTTGTAAATGCCCACGCGAGCCCCCTGAGGTCAAACAGCACTGCTGCCTGCTGCTCTGCCAAAAAATGCTGAAACCACAAGAGATTCAGGTTAGATTCAAGCATAAGTAACTGAACACACGTCATAAGCTCAGAGGGGAGCCTGCTCTCAGAGTGCAACAGGAATCACTTTTAGGTAGCAACACAACCATGGGTGGCTTGTGACGAAGAGGACACAGCAGGTCTCCGCACCTCCAAGCTTCCTTGGTAAAGGCTTCCTGATGCAAGGTACCCGGGGGGAGGCTGGGGGCCCTCAGCAGAACAGTTCTGGAAACAGGCAGGGAGGACAAACATGAAACTCCC